CACTGAAATGTTATATTTACGCAGCTCACGATATCTTTATACTTTCTTTCGCGCGTAGTGTACTTGTAACAGATGTCTCTCAAAAAAGGAACTTTATAATTATTCCAAACAGACAGCAGTCCGTTGCGAATGTCATTTAATGGATTGTCTAATAAATTATTTATTTAAGCCATATCGAACAAAGCAATTTTTGAACGTAAGAATACCGAACACCGAAAAATATTATACATAGATGCACTATTTTAAAGTTTATAAATATGCAGTATATTGTGTTCTTTTATTTGACAGCTATTTGACAGCTTTGCCTTACATTTACTTGCTTGAAATATTATCTTTATTTACAGCTCGGTGCGATACTGTCTTTTGCGCGCAGTAATAATTTTAATGTTCTATTGTCAAGATGTGGCAACTGAAGCCGTATAGACATATAGACTCGTAAAAAAAACAGATGTCTCGCAAAAAAAGAACTTCATTATTTCAAACAGACAGGAGTAAATATCGTATAATGGAGAGTTCAGTGGATTATTTATTTAAGTCATATAGAAATATGAAATTTTCGAACGTAAGAGGTTGGATGCAAAGTGAAATTTGATTAACGCAAAAATAATATTTTTCATCGGTATCAAAATGTAGAAAATTACGAGAGAAGGTTCCGAAAAAGATTTCGAATCGCACGACGTCGTCAGGTGATTACTCATCGTCACAAATTCCACAGAAGTTATTTTGCAATCCAATGAATGCTTTGTAAAATTTCTTCTATTTATAATAGAACTTATAAGTTTTTTTTACTTGATATTCAAAATAAAACTTCTCCACGAAAATATGCGAAATCTATTTGCATAATGACGTGACGCTCCGTGAAAAATAAGCAGCGATTCGACTTTGGAAAAAATGTCAGGACGAATTTTCAAACGATAATGCCATCGTCGGTTATTTTCTCAAAAATGACGCTGCTCGACGAACCATTTAGCGATCTTCGTGCTCGTGCGCGTATAGCACGTCGCCCGTTAACCCGTTGCCCTTCCGCCGTATAAAATACGGAAGTCACGTTGTCTCCGGAGAAAACAGCGGCTGGTATCCCCGGCGTACGCCTGGCGGAATTACCACCTTGCAAAACACCTTCTCGTCGCCGTCCCCATCGTCGTCGGTGGCGACGCCGCGGCGGGGCAGCGTCACGCCACAATTTATAGAGATTAGCCCGCGCGGAGCGAGAAGTTGCGAATCGTGCCGATCGAAACGGCCGCGAAACTTTTCCAAGTCGTATTGTTATCCCGAGAAGACGCGAAAAAGTCCGGGCGGCGCGGGAGACGCGGGAAGCGACGTCGCGAGACTGAAACGACAGTGGATGCACGATAAGAATGTCTCCGGGGTGCGATGCAAGTCCGTCCCGACGTCCTCGTTTCAAGAAAAGCTGAACAGATCGTGAAAATCGCGCGAACGTTCTTCCATCTCGCATATTCGGGCATTTTTATATCCCTATGCTTTTTCTCTCGATGCCTGAAGAAGTTTTATGATAATTTCTTTCTGTCAGTACAATCGATAAATAGAAAAACAGACTAAAGATGATTATAACATATAATTATTTTATAAATAATATGAATAATATATAAATATTATATTATCATATTTTTCTCGCAATGTAAATTATATTTGATTTGCTATTAGATATATTTCATTACCAAATTATCTTTTCCATTCATTTTACAATCTTCCTTGTGGAAAGTAATTATAATATGAGCAAGTGGATTAAGCAATGAAATGCCGTTTCGCATTTCGTGAGAGGTACATATATCGAAAATTGCACTGAAATGAAAGCGTAAGGATTCTAGATATACAGACTGTCAGATCTCGCCTCATGATAACATTTAATGGCAGATTTCTTATTTTGAGATAATGATCCTAATACCGAAAGCTTTAATAATTTTTTAATGAGAAATATTCTCTATTTCACAATTGTTTGAAATCAAATTATCCGAAATTTATACGCTCAAACGCCGTACAGCCTGGATATTTTGATATTATGATTTTTATCACAGAACAACTTCATCACGCGAAGTCTGTGGAACTCTGTATAATAAAGTACTGTAGTCAATGCTTTGTATGTAGCGCATATTCCAAGAACAATATTATGTGCAATATCGAGACGGTAAAACGTGACCCAATTGCACCCCACATGAATAAGAAATTGCACTTACGGGTTCACAGCTTTCAATTTTTAAGATTAAGAAGAGAGAAAGAGAGTTGAATTATATCCGAGCAATAATTTATATTATTTCCCATTTAAATCTTTATAATTATGGCGCAGTCTGTCAATCATTTATACCACTATTTAGACCGTTTGTTATCTATTCTGATTAACCTAAATAAATAAAAGGATCGATGAAATTTCCAGACAATTTTATATTTATTACCTTTTTGAACATTAAAAATTGACGTTGTAAAATCTTTCAATAGTTTGACGAAAATATCTAATAATATTCCGCGATTCTCTTCTCTTCATGTTACTAATTTACGCGATGATGTAAAACGAAAAGTTTCTCTCGCGTCGCTAAGATGACCGATAATTATCGACTTTGCAAAGTAAGCATCTTTAATGGTACTTACGAAATTAATAAGCAGCCCCGTAAAGTTTGAAATGACGTCTTTGGTGCTCTCGTTCGCATAAAAAGTATATCGAAACAGTTATTATTTAATACGCACAGATCTCGTTTCGTAATTGAGTACTAATTTAAAAAAAACGCACAGGAGTCATCCACAAATATATCCGCACGATTTTAGTTTATTAATATAAAGCGTAAATTAATTGTTGCAAAAAGAAATTGCCGTCGCAAGATAAAAGCGACGTTGGACCGAATGCGAAATATTCGCAATACGTTCGCCTATTGTCGAGGATAACTAATTAACGAAGGATCGAATAAATCAATGCATTTCGCGCATCGATTTGCGCAACACGTGGCCTCTATGTAGCTGATCATATTGCGTCAGGATGAGAACTAATTATCCTCTCTCATATCAACGATATGTAATCACGCTGTCCTCGCTGTTAATACGATATGGAGATACTAAAGGGCCGGCATGACACGTAAATACTATTCTCACGCTCAGACTGAACGATATTAATTATTTGAAGCCAAATACAATTCTACATACAGCATTATTACCTCGAAGAATGTATCTTTGATTGACATACAGATGGGTTCCATATATACGCGTACGTCAGTACAAGCGATTCTGTCGCCGAAATTTATTTGAATTAATCTCATTATTTCGAAATTTTATTATATTATTTATATCCTTACGATTACTTTTTAACGTAAGATATTTATTTGTTATATAAAATCTCTAACATTTTATATATAATATTTCTATTACTATTCTATAATAAGTAGGGATGTACTGTAATAATTACTGTAATAATTAGGGATTGAAAGTAATTCGTTGTTTGCAACGCCGTTACAGTTACTTTTCATAGTAACGAACTGGTAACGACGTTATTCTTTCTTTTATAACTGTAACTGTAACACAGTTACAGTTTTTTACATGTAACATTTTTTCGGTAACAATAACGTATTATTTGAGTTACTTTTATCATTACTTTTTGTATTTTGAATCTATTTATATAGCTCGTATCGAAAAAGCATTTCTCTTCTTAGAGTTTGTGTTTTTATAAATCAGTCTAATGTCATTGTTGTATTGTTTTTATTAATATTTAACCAAAATTTGCAAAAGTAAATTTTTTAGATTGATCTTGTTTCAACAATTAAAAAATTACGAAAAAGTAATGAGTTATTTAAAAAAATTAGTGTAACTAGCAACTTTTTTTACTCGGTAACGAGTAACTAGTTACTTTTAAAAAGTGACTTTCCTGATTTCTTGATAATAATAATATACATTACTGAATAACTTGGTATAGAGTAGTCGTCTATATCAAACGGAAGATCTGCGTTTGATTCCCGATTCTATCATTTCGCTTACAGCGAACAAACATCATTACACTTCAGTTAAGTTTCCAAAATATACAGTCTGGTTGCTTGATGTGCGCGAAGCGAGAAACAGAGATATTCAATGTTCATAGAAACGTCAATATATGTATGTTACGTGGAAAGGAAAAAAAATAATAATAAATAAATAAAGTAATGCAATGGCGTAAAGTATATTATTTTGATTTGTGTCATGATCCGATCACAAATTGCTGTTCACGACGTATGGCGAGCGGCGAAAATCTTTCGATTTTCATTGCGCGCGATGTCTCGCGAGCCACTTGAGTGTTCTCTGAGAGAGCAATAGTGGAAATCGAGACAACAGATCTGTAACGTCAATATATAGGATTTCGATGAGGTATTTCGTATCCATTCCACTTCTTCTTCTTCTAGAACCTACCGCCCGTTATCCGATGGCACTTTCCACGTCTCGTACTATCCTCTCTTTTAGCTCTTACCTTTTACTTATTTTATCAGGGGGGGGATACTGGATACGGTATTAAATTCTTAAAAGACGGAACAGCACGGATTTACTTCCACGATTCGCCGCTCTTAATCCCGGACGGCATACGGCCGTCCATTTTATTTTGAAGTTTATGACTGGCCCTCTTAATGCGACGAAACTCGTGAAACAGTAATGCACTTAATAGTATAAGAAAATTCGATACGCGAGTTTCCGCGGAACGAATCATTCTCGTCTCGATGCGAGGTTAAAGTATGTCGACGGCGCGAAAGAAAACGTGAATTATATATATTCGAATTATCTACCCTCTCTTGAGATATACATATCTTTGAATAAGAAGGAGTCACCGGAATACGAAAGAGAATTTGCGGTAAACGCGAGTAAGGGAAGCGGGGGGGCAAATAGTGACGAATCTTTTCCTCTCTCCCTTACAAACTAATTTCAAGATATAATTTTTCACTAAAAGAGTATTTTTCACTTCCAAAAACTTAATTAGAGTTTCCATAAGACATGAATATGTGCTAGATTTTCATAAAAACTGAAATCTACATTTGTTACTATTTGCTCCAACCTATGGGTAAATAATGACACTCTATGGAACAATTACAAAATACATAATTCTTAACTCCTAATCGATCTTTCTTTTGACATTTTGATTAGATAAAGTAATTTATAATAATTTTTATTCTCTGCCATATGTAAATTTTTATTTATTAATAAATAATAGTAGTAACATTATTTGCTAGTATTTCTTATTGAAAATTACATTGTTGTGGATCTTGCTTTGTAACTAATCTCATATTATCTCAAATGAATTAGAAAAATGAATTAGAATTAGAAAAATCCTATTCAAATGAATTAGAATTAGAAAAATCCTATTCAAATATTAAAAGAGCTTTTTGACATTATTTATCCAACTAAAAATTGTCATTATATTTGTCCCAGGAGCTATTTTTTCTTTTAAAACTTTACTGAGAGAAACAAAATTAATATACAAGCATAAGAATTATATTAAAATATAGGAAAAAGGTACCGTATGACATTGAATAGATCTCATTCAACGATTCAGCAATTAAGAAAATATAACTTTAAATATCAAAAAGAGATCCAGATTTTACCTTATTTCACGAATGCAAAATTTTAAACTTCTCCGCTAGCTAATTGGCTTTTGATATTTATAACTTTTTTAGAAGATGATTAGATGCTTAAGAACTGCTTTTCTATTAAAGAGAAGTGGCAAAATAGACGCAGGAAAGAGGAGAAATTTAAAGTGACACTATTTGCCCCCCATTCCCTTACGTCTTCCAATACGTTTTTTTAACGAATCCGCGGACGAAGGCGGATCAATTTGCCCGACGACGTGTTTCAAACGAGACGAAAATGATATAGTTCAGGAAACACACGTGGTGGCTTCACGAAACGAAACCTTTCACGCTTGTCGCTCGCTACCCGCGAGCCTTTCGCGAATTCGCGTGCGCGTTGCCTGTTTCGTGTCGGCCCTCCCTTCGGAGTCGCCGAAAAGGGACCTGCATCTCGATATCCCACGCGAGCCTGTTTATTCGCGCTACTTCGTTACGCGTACTCGGCCGCGGCAGAGCGGGACTATGTCGATTTCCATGGAAAACACATATCCCCGTGCCGCCAACAAGCGCCACTCGTTTCGTTTCGTTTCGTTGCGCCACGCACGAACGCTCGCGGCGTTCATTTTTTTTTTACGGTCTTTTTTTTCGAGGGGGAGAAAAAAAACGAAACGGGCGAAGGGCGTGCACACGGTACTCACGTCGTATCGCTCCTGGATGTGCGGTCCGGCTTGCGCGATGTACAGCGTGCTGGCGGTATCGAATACTAATTCCTGGGGGATCCTGGTGACCCTCTGCCGGGCCATCTCGTGGCAATTGAGATAGAAGGTGACGTCGCTCGTGGAAACCTTAATGACGATCTTCGACCATTTCTTCGTGAGCTTCGGCACGGTGAACTTCGCCACCTCCTCCGAATGCGAATGCTCGTCCGAATTCGTGTAGACCAACGAGACATTCTGGTTCGAGCCAGGTCCGTCCTATACGAGCACGAACGAAAAAAAAAACCAGTCAAGCTTCCTGAATCTATGTTTAACATTTTGCATTCTAATTGTAATTGTTCAAATACACACGCTCGCATCAGTTTAATATTAATTAATTATTGATAAATACAACTTTGTACATACAACTTTGTACATACAACTGTCACACAATATTGCGTATTAATAAAACTTGCTAAGAATGATACGAATTATGGAATCGCGTGAAGTAAATTATTGAAAGAAAACTATTGGGAACAAACTGAAAACTTCAAAGAAAACTTCAAAAGTTGTATACTCTGCTCTCATCGCAATTTCATGTATTGGGCAATAGTGACACTATCTAAAAATTGAATTACGAAACATTTTCTAGCATTATCGAAATTTTCTAGATGTTTTTAAAATATTCTCAAATTTTCACTTTAGTATTCAAAATATTTTATTACATTAAAAAAAATAATATAAATGATTATAATTTAAATAATAATAGAGAAGAAGCAATTTCAAGATTAATAATTAAAGGTGTCGAAAAATAAAAAAATAACCTTCGTTAAAAGCCATGATTAAAAAGTCTTCACGTTTGTTTCTCTTTTCTTCATTTTTAGAACATTTTAAATGAATCATGGTTTTAATTATGAAAAGAAAGTAAGAAACATGTAATGGTTTGCGGAGTAAGAATGAAAGGAAAAATTATATTACGGAAAAATGACGAATTTATATATCGTCGACTGCGTAAAATTGCTCTTATTTCATTTGAACGATATTCATTCATCTAGTCATGAGACGAGCAGTGTCATAAGAATATCACGTAGCTACTTTGATAAAGCGCGTTTAAAGAGCTAGTAATCACCGAGCTGTTAAAGCGGATTCCTCCATGATTTAATATGACGTCATATTTCACGCTCGTCCCCTCATTTCCGCAAGACATTTGCTCCTCAATCTTACACGCCATTATATTTTCCCTGGCATCGCGCCTCGCTGATTCAGCAGGACCCGGCCGCAATCGATAAAACCGCGTAACACTTTCGACAGAGATCTCGAAAGGGCTCGCGACATAATTTGTTACATATCGCCATCTGCCTCGATCAGGTTGCTGATAGCAAAAGTTGAGAGATTCAAAAGAGGTCAAGAGATATTATTACGCGCGCGGCTTACCGAAATTCTAATGCCCAATTGGACGACGGTTTCGAAGGGATTGAGAACGGCGAAGAGGTAGCTCGTTCGGAAGGAGGTCGGCTTGAACGTGGCCACCAGGGTGAACTCGGCCGGCAACTTCTCCGGGAGGTACAGCCTGTACGGCTGCTTCACCTCGGACCCGGGCCGAAAGCCGAACGCCGGGAACCCGTCCACGCCGTCGTCCATGTAAAGGTTATTATCTTCGGTCATCGATGACACCGATGCCTCCATCAAATCGTACACCACTTCTGAAAACATGAATGTCAATAGTTCCTATTAAATTGCGTTTAATCGCGGCCGAAATTTGCGCGCGACCGTTAAATGTTGACAGTTTGAACAACTAATTAACCTAACGATATTAAATTATCATAATGATATTAAATTGAAATACTGTATAGATTGATAGGTAATCAAGGTTATTATTTGAGGGCAAATTCTGAATAAATTAATGTGTGCGTAAATTAATGTTAGAATTATTGGCGCGTCATTTGGTTCGTGAAACTATTATTAATGTATTGGAATGAAAAACATTGCGCATTTAGCCTTAAGAAAAAGATTTTTCTCAAGGCTAACAAACATGGGTACATTATAATAGGAGAAAATTGGGAATGAATTTTTTTATATTTCTTAAATCACGGGTTTCTTGATGTCATGTCATTGTATCTTTTTATACCAATAAAAATCGTGGATTCTTCCAGGAAGATTATAAAAGAATCATTTGTAAAAACTGTACAGTTTGACCTATTTCTATTAAATAATTTTAAATATTATTACAGTTTGAGTAATTTGGATAAAAATTATTATTATTATGTGTAACACGTTTTTAGAGAAAACGCGTTTAATAATGCATCGCTCCTCATACATATTTTAGCGCGATCTTTTAACAGGAATCCAATGAGAATAATTAGTAAAATTGTTGAAAATGGAACGTTTTGCGAAAAAGAGACTTTCCGCGTGCATCTCCGCGAAAAGTACAGAGGAGTAGGTCGGAGCGAATGTAGAAACTTTAATTAATTTTTCGCGCGCTGGTTTGCGCGAGAGATTTATACGTGATGTTCTGATAAGATTATTTCTCAAGTAGAAAAATTATTTAACGACTAATGCACTAAGTTCATCGATTGTGCAAAATCGTGACGCGCCGAAAAATCGACTAATTGTAAAACATATTAAAAGATAAATTGGAATATATTAAGTTACAAACGTTTTCGTTTCGTATTCGTTGACAAACATGAATAAAATCGTCAAAAAGATCTTTATGATTCATGAAATATTTGTATAATATTTATATCTCGTGTAGAGATATAAATATTATATAATATTATATTATTTGCATTCACAGAATAAGAACTTTATATTTTACGTACGAAATTTTTTTAATACTATTAATTATTATTGTTATTATAGCAAATAAAAAAGCATACAGCGTAGTTTCAGCACTACGAACCGTGACATTATATTCGTGTGTGTGTAACTCGTGCACAGCGTGATTAAGATCATAATTCTTTAATGTACGACAACACCATTTTGCGCGCCATACGTCATGCTCCGATCCGTGACATCCGATACACCACGTGATATTCCACGGCTGAAAGCTCGATAACCGATATTTATTGTCGGAGACATGAGTCGGCGCAGTAAATCGCCTTAAAAATCCTTTCGGCGCCCAGACGTCGACAAACTGGGAGAAAAAGATGGTTGCAATTATCGTTAATTTTACTCTAATGTATACTATAGTAATGTATTTTCGATTGCCAATTAATTATAAATTTGGTACGATTATAAATATAATTACTAACATTATGGCAGTAAGAACTATAGAAATGGAACCCTAACCATATTTATTTTATTGAGCAATTATAGTCACAAAATACTTTCTTCTTATTGTCAGTGCATGATTGACTATCCAGAATTTAATATTAACGGAACCAAATAATTATTTATTTTGAATATTGAAAAGCACTGTTTGTTAATGCTTTTAATACTTAATATAAATAATTGCTTGACTCTTCTATAGTATTAAATTTCTATAAGAGTAATCATTGATAAAAGACGCTTCTTGTTGCATTAACAAATCAAATTTCGCATCAATATTATTAGCGTCATAGACAAACTAAAATAGTTCAGCGAAAACTAAAATATATTTTTGCTTCGATAAGTGTAAAGCCGTTCATAAAAATCATGTTGTCAATTACAGAGAACAAAATTTTCTTTCTGTATTTTATGTATACATCGGTAAGAATAATCTTTCATCGAAAAAAGGAAAATAAGATATTGAGACGTCTGAATTGAGAACGTATATTTCGAAATAGTATTCTGTTGGGACTAATAAAACACCGTCTACATCTCGCTTCGTATTTCCTTCTCGCACATATTCTCCTATCACAAGCAGCTGCTCTAATAACAAAATTCACCGGGCAATCTAAAAATGTTCGATGAAAATACAGGTAACGGCGTGTCGGCGAGCGGTGTAAGTTAAATTATCGCCATGCCCGAAGTAATTTCCAAATTGCATTTGTGACCGCGCTATATTCTCTCGCGTAACGTATTCTACCTCGAATGTACTCCGGCCACAAAAGCTTCAGTGAGTGGCCCGACGAATTTTGGTTCTCGCTTATTCGGCTTGCCTCTCCGCCGACTGCATTTTTCGCGGCCCCGAATGGAGTAGTTTTTCATGTGCGAAAGTAAATTAATTTGTTATTCGAGCAAACACCAAATATAAAATTAAGCGCGCGCATTTCCCCGAGTACGCGTGTACTCTGATTTGGGAGAATACGCGAGAATTAATGTTACATATTTATCCGATCTTTTCGTTTAATAACGCGCGCGCGAAAGCACTTTTTAAATTTATTTAACAAATGAAAGTGCCGACATAAAAAATGTATTAACGTTTATTAACGATAAATTTTGTATAAATTTCACGCGAGAATATTCCGTCGCACTTTTCTGATTATCTCTGGTCATTTGTTCCTTCAATTTTCTTATTTTTCGAGACAAAACTTAAGAGTCAATTTCGAGATTGCTTCAACCGTAGCTACAGAAAGAGATGTTGGTATAGGTATTTCAACGCTACTTAGGTAATTCCTATATATACGTGCGTGTATAAGGTCTAGAGGAAACTTCCATTGTTTCTTTTTAATTTTGAAGTAAATATTCTTCACAACGGATTTCTTATTATTTTTCGATTTTCAAGACAGATTTTCGCGTGCCTATTTAAATACGTTTTCTGCAACAGCAGCAGGAAAGATTTCAATGCTTGATAGATTGCAGCGTGGGATCGAGATGCGTGGTGATTCGAACGCCGGCATAGGCGTCGACCATGCGACACCTCCTGCACGGGTATACCCTCCTGACGCGGATCTCTATTTTGTGCCGAAATTGCGATAGGCCCGAGTCATTTTAAAGTCCAAACTAGAAGCGGCGTATGTGCAAATTGAAGGAAAAAAAGAGACGCGGACAGTAATTGAAGCGCCGCGAGATTTAATGACCGGACGAGCATTTCGAGCGTGCACTTATTCTTCACGCGTTTTCAGTTAATCGCTGTGCTCGACGTGTGTATTTCACGCGGGAATCGGCTTATAATAAGACAATGTAATTTCAATTGTATTGAATTTATATCGAAATTAATTTCAACATTTAATTAATAATTTTCTTGTTAATTTTGAAAAAAATTAATCTTCACGTGGTTCTCTCTCTCTCCCTCTCTCTCCCCCCTCTCTCTCTTCACATGCATTTCCGCCAGACTCATTGTACACAAGAGATTTATTATCGAGTAGCTTCGGCTGTTATCACGTTTCAGAAATTATAGATGAGATCTTGCGGCGATATCTACGTTTTATAATAACCGTAAATTAATAGCAGCTATCATGCCTTCGTCACGTGATAAATGCTCGATATTTTTTCGCGTAAAATAATAAATTATCGTTTTTCGCAAAACTATGAACAGCGGCGTATCGACGGTATGGATCGAAAATGGGCTTTATCGCTTATCGATTTGCGCGATTGCATTCCGCTTCAATAAATTAGAGCTCGCGTCATTCCATCCCCCCTCCATCCTCCCTCCCCTTGATGAGAGGTACTCTAAATACACGTTTCAGCGCGAAAGTAGTTTTGAATTTTCTAGAAGCTCGAACAATATGCATGAAGCGACGCGCGGCACGTTATCCGCGCCATACCTTGTCCGGACGGTAATTAGGTAATAAACTCGACGTTCGCGGTTATTAAGCGCTCGAAAAAAATTATAATAAATTATTGTAATAACGGCGTCCATAATGCACGATTTCGCGCGCGAGTCCGTAATATCCCCTCCCCCTTCCCCGCGTGCGCTCCTTCTTCGTATTCCGCGCAAATCCATTTGCATAAATCCGTATGCCAATTCGCCCTGTCAGCTCGTTACAACTTTCCCGGTGGCGCATACAAGAATCCATGAATCACGCAAATCGAACAAACGGTGAGCGCTTTCAGTACGAGTCGGGATGCAAATGTCTTCTTTAAACTATCGACGTGAGCGTGAAAACTGTTTTCTTCTCTCGGTTTCCCCGCGCGTTTCCACACGCTGCGAGATACGCTATACCTGTTTTTGTCGCAGTGTTCGTCGTAGAGTTATGGATTGTAGATTATTATGTATAGATTTGTTATGTAAATTCCTACATCCCTCTATTCGATTTCGTGTATTGCGTGGAATTTGCACGAATCTGTCTGGCATTAGTGATGTTTAACGATTACACGTTACAAAGATAACCATGAAAGGAATACAAATGTTATTTAATCCTTTCGTTCTCACTGTAGCATAATATGTAGCCATATGACCACATATTATGAAATATGAAATAAAGTGATATTGCGGTTTATATCTCACAAAATATACTAACTCCTTATAGTCTTATACTAATTATTTATAGTTTATAAAGACTTTCTACACTTGTATAGATAACATGTATTTTGATATGTACTTAAAATCTTCGTGATAACATAGAGTATTATCTAATCTTTCATTTATTGCCTTTACAATACAATGATAAAAGTTATCACAATTACCATAAGATCGTGCAGAATTATCAATTTCTTAAAATATTTTAAGTAGATTTGCCAAAGGTAAAGAGAAAATTTTTACTATGTATAATGCAATGCAAATTGTTATACATACTTGCAATAAAAATAATTGTGTAAAAATCCTTAAACAAAGTACCAAAATGTTTTCAAAATATCAGAATATTTTTATAAATCGCTTATTTGTTGTACGCAATATACTAAAAAATACG